AAGGGTGTTTGTGCCTAACAGCTTGCAATTAAAGACTTTTTTTTTGCACAAATCTTGTTGGTCTACTAAAAGATATCACCTCTGTCCATGAGCCCCGATTGTTTTTTCCTCTAAACCAATACGGCTACAACCTGGATACCTGACACTATTCTGTCTCTGAACTGAAAAAACAAACAAACGAAAAAAGCAAGTGAAAACTAAGTACTGGCATTTTCTGAGGGCCACCTCAAGTCTGACAAACGTCTTGCGTCTAAAAAGGCTGAAATCCCTGCACTGTAGTGACGTGTAGTGTAGGGTCATGTGGGATGTACTATAGTCCGTTGTCACACTAGCTGTGGCTTTCAACCTTCTCAGACTCACTGAAGTCCCCCACTGAAGGACCCCTCCACAACTTGTGTCAACTGAGCAGCCCACCCACTGCAAAAACTAACCTATTTATTACAGTGCTTACCTTCTTTGAGGGGCCGGGCAATGGGGTCAGAGAAATGTGCCCTGAGATATACTTCAGTCCTCACACCTCAGGGCACCCTTCAAAGGATCTCAACACCGTTCAAGGGATCTCATGGTTACCTGGTTGAGAATTACTACACTATAGGTTGGGAGAGTAATCATATGGGGTAGTGGTTGCATAGAGAGATAGGCACAGTAGCATAACATGGCACAGCAGGAAAAACTTTCTTACTAGGAGGGTAGTAAAGCACTGGAAAAAGTTACCCAGGGAGATGGTGGGATCTCCATCCCTGGAGGTTTTTAAAACCCAGCTAGACAAAGCCTTGGCTGAGGTGATGTAGTTGGGGCTGGTCCTGCTTTGAGCAGGGGCTTGGACTAGATCAGTGTTTCTCAACCTGTGGGTCATGACCCAAAAGTGGGTCACAAGAATATATGACGGGGTAGTGAACAAACTTTAAAAAAAGATCAACAAACCTTAAAAAACGATTCTCCTTTAAAGGAGAAAAACATGGGAAACCATGGCTTTTCTCTTGTAGGCTGGCAGAGCTGCAGCCTGCTTGGGGTTCCCCACATGCTGAGGGGCTGGGGGCAGTAGGGAGGGAGTGAGGGGTGCTGGCCATTGATGTCCTGGTACAAAAACAGTTGAGAACCACTGGACTAGATCAGTGGTTCTCCACCTTTTTTTTGTACCAGAACCCATTTGTAAACATCAATGGCCAGTCGCCAGCCAGTGCCACCTCCCGCCCCCCCCAATGTCCCCAGTGTGTGGGGGCATGAGGGGCCCAAAGCAGCGCCTTTCAGGCTGCAGCTCTGCCAGCCTGCAAGGGAAAAGCCACGTTTTTCTCCTTTAAAGGAAAATCCATTTTTAAAGTGTGTTTGCTACCCTTCCATATAGTCTTGTGACCCACAGGTTAAGAAACCCGGGACCAGATGACCAGCTGAGGTCCCTGCCAACCCTCAGGCGCTATGAGGGTGCATAGATACTGCGCGGAGTGCAGACAGTGGCTGCCTGGAGCGCTATGCACTGGAGCGCTTCAGAATAGAGCGCAGCGCAGTGCCCGGGGAGCGCTTGTGGCCGGCTGCAGCCCGCCCCTCCGAGACCTGCAGCCCGGCGCAGCTCAGCCTCCCCTTCCTCCCTCTCCTTCGCCCTGCGCCAGCGGCACGCCGCGCGCTGCCCTCCCCTCCGCTCCCCGCCCCACAGCCATCCCAGCCGCCGCCTCGCCACGGGGTAAGCCTCTTGTGCTGGCGGAGGGAGGGCTCCGACTGCAGGGGGAGGCAGGAGAGGAGCGGACTCAGGCAGGAACCTGCTTCCCGGAGCTGGGAAAATGGCAGCTTTTTTTTTCCTTTTGCAGCGTAGTGCTGCATCGGCCAGGCTCCAGGGCTGAGACAGGTCCCTGGGGCTGATTCTTCATGCCCGTGGCTTCCCCTTGGTGCGCTACCAGGGTGGCACAGCTCCCAGGCAAGGCATGCCTTCAAATGCTCCCCAAATACTAGAGACGGCAATGGTCCTCCCTGCATGCAGGATGCGGGTGGGATTCAGCGTGCTCCGGCACGGGGCAAGGGGGACTGGAATTTCATCTGCATGTCTCCAGATTGCTGTTCCCGACAACAGCCATTTATTCACTAGTCTGAGAGAAATCTCTTTTGCCTGGATTGAACTCTGGCAGCAAAGTCTTCAGTAGTTTTTGTTTTGAAAACACCTTAGTTTTTGAAAGGATTTCACACGATCCCTCAAAGCTTTTTAGAAGGAGCTGCTGGAAATTAAAAGGGTTTAGAATGACTCATACTTCAATTCAACTACAGCTCAAAAAGGGGGAAAATGTAGGTGTATCTATAGCTATACCCATATCTATTTACATATCTATATACTGAAATGTTAAGCAAACTGAAAAGTAAAACAGCAACAATTCAATTAAGGTCAAATTAAATGAAATGTTTTGGTTAACTATCCAGCTCTTAAAAGTGCTTTTTATTTTATTTTTTAAAGCCACCCACAATTTTCACCCAGCTCTCCTAGAAACACTGCAGTAAAGGGTCTGCCTCTTACTTTTTCCACCTTTCTCCACTTTTATGTTCTTAAAGTGAAGAGCAGAAGGAACAGATTTCAAAGACTCCCATCGCTTCAATCCTTCATTTCACTTGGTCCAGGTTTCTGTGGAGTAGTAACATGTCATCAAATCAGAATCTAATCTGCCAGCCTCCATCCCAGGAAATGGCCTGACCTCAGTAATATTTTGAGTGATTACTAGAACAGTTTAGGATTTTCCTTTAATCTTCTTAAGTGAAACATACATAAATAACAGAATATAGAAACCTATGTTACACTTTAAAAAAGACCCCTATTTTCTCTGAAGTAAAAAAAAAAATGCCAGGAAAATGCCCAGTGGCAAATTATTTTACTTTCCTAAGTGTAACTAAAGTTCTGGTGGCTGTGAGTAGGTGGAGCAAAAATGAGGAGTTTTGTAGACCCAAGGAATGTATTATAGATCTTAAGTTCCTAGGCCCCCCATTCTCTCCTTCCCACATACACACACTGGGGGGCTGGGACCTGGGGGCAGTGGGTTGGGAGTGAGGGGCACTGGGTCAGGTCTGGCCATAGCTGCCCATACCCATGCTCGTTCATGTTCGAAATGTCACACGTTGGAGCTTGCTCGATTAATCAAGTCTGTTCCACATTATAATCAGAACGTGTCAGTATTGCCTCACTGCCAGGTGTATTAAGGCCCCGTGCATTTTAAAATGGTCTCAGGGGCACTTCATCTAAATGCCATCAAATGAGCTTTAGATAAAGCATCCTGCAACCATTTTAAAATGTGCGACAATACAACAATACAATACAGTACAACAATCCTAGCTTTGGCAACAATCTGGCTTTGGCAACTGAATCTTTGCAAATGTTTGTCTTCAGTTGTACAATCTTAATAGAAGTAAGAGTAGATATTCCTGTTGTGATAGACAGTCTTTGGCCACGTTGCTTCCTAGCTAAATAACGCTGGAAAAAAGATATAACTTTTCTCTAGAGTCTGTTAATTTTTATATTCAGTATCTCAATTCAATAACATAACATAACAATAAAGTCCGCGTGTCTACTTAATGTATTTATTTCTACATATCTTATGTATCTATTTCCATATATCTCTTTCTGTGTGGCAGCTCTGTATGCAACAAAAAATCTAGACCTATGCAAAACATCACAGCCATACCTGGATCCAACTGTATCCAGTAAGTTTTTCTGTTTTTATCCAAACTATAACAGTTCTTCCAATTAAAAAACAAAGAAGTGCATCTGCTCAAATTCCTCTTCTTGTGTTCTGAAAATGACTAGATTTGTTCTGGAGTGATGTTACAGCCCCGACGGTCCAGGAATTATGTGAAAGGCAAAGATTTTTGGGATTACATCGTTTATGGACCAGGTGCATGACTGTGATAAATGTAAACAAGCTTTCAAGTGCAAAAATATAGAATTTGGGGACCCTGGGCCAAAGCTTGGTATGCTGCACTTAGATCTGAGTTTTCCTTATGGTGCAAGATTTCAGTCTCAAATGTAAATGTGCTTAGGAAACATTGGGCTGAAGACAGTTATCTACTTGCATTGTATTCAAAAGTGGAAGCTTGCATGCCTTAATTTTGACCATCTCGGGGTTTATTGATTATTTCAGAATAATCATCTGATGACAATTTGTACATTGTAAAGTGACCTCTTAGTGCCCTTTCACTTCAGCTAGGGCAGAATTTCTCAACCCATGGGTTATGATCCAAACGTGGGTTGCAAGAATATATGAAAGGGTCATGAACAACCTTTAAAAATGGATCAGACTTTTAAAAACAGATTCTTCTTTAATGGAGAAAAATGTGGGAAACCATGGCTTTTTCCTTGCAGGCTGGTCTGCTTGAGGCCCCCTATTCTCTCCCTCCCACATACACACACTGCGGGGCTGGGGCCTTGGGGCAGTGGGTTGGGGGTGAGGGGCACTGAGTCAGGACTGGCCATTGGTGACGTGTAGGGGGTGGACACAGGTGCATGAGCACCCCCTGAGCATGGTGGTGCACTCCTTACACTGTTGGTGGTGCCTGCAGGCAGTCGCTGCTCGCCACCCCCCTGCCGCAGGTGGGTGGTCAGTGATCACCGCTGGCTGCCACTGCCTCTACTGGTGGTGTCTGCAAGTGGTCGCCGACCCCTGGTTGGTGCTCCCCCCCCACTGCTGCTGACAGCGCCAGTGGTGTCTGTGGGATCTTGCTGCTTACCGCCACTGCGCTTCAGCCGCTGTGCTTCCACCACCGCCGTGCCCCCCACCCAGCTGCCGGGGGCATGTGTTGCTCATGGGACTGACCATCAATGTTTGCAAATGGGTCCTGATACGAAAAAGGTTGAGAACCACTGAGCTAGGGACATGAATATAGAAGAAAGCAGAAGAAATCCTGTGGCTGGAACTTTAGGGTCTAAACATTGGTGCCCTTTGCTTGCTTGTAACTCTTCCTAGCTTCCAGCCCTCTTTAGTGTGTAAGAAAGTCAAGAAGAGTTTATGCATGTTGGAAACTCGATAGGAGGCAGCAGCTGATCTTCCCATCACCAGCCTAAAAATACTCTACAGCAGAGTTTAGAGCTGCTTCAGTAAGTGGAGGAAAATCCTGTCATCAGAATAATATTGATCAGATAGGACAGCGGAGTGAACATTTGGTTTGGTGTTTTGTGTGCGCTAAGGTAAGCTACAGAGTTTGATCTAACATTCAGTAAACAAGTGGGGCATGCAGCAACCTCCCTATTATCTTTCACTAACCCCCTTCTTGTCCTTTCCATTATATCTGTGGGACAAGGTTCTTTGCACTTCCCTGGGGTTACAGCTCAAATCTGTATAACTTTTCCTTCCCAAACTGACATTCTAAAACTTTACCATCCCCTGCTGCTGTTGCATTCTCTTCTGTTATTCATAGGGATAAGTTTCTTCTTAAACTGATTTTACAAGTGTCCTGTAGTAATGTAGGAAATGTTAAATTGTAGCTTGTTTTACAGCTGACGGCATGGCATGCTGGTATTTCAAGCTGCACAAATAGCTGGGTTAAGGAGCTAACATAAAAAAGAAATAAACAGGCAGGATAATTACATGCTAAAGAGAATTCCAAAGGTAGATGTGAATTGCTTTGTAGTGTTAATTTGATCGTTAAGCTCAATTGCAACTATAATCTTAGATTTCATTGCACATTTATTATATGCAGTGTATTTCTGTGTGTTTGGGGCCTGATCCAAAAATCATTGAAGTCAATGAGGTTCTTCCTATAGGCCGTTTGTATACACTTGTAAGTGCTTTGGAAACAGAAGAGTAAATAGAGAAATTTATCACCGCAGGGTTTTAAATAATTTATCGGACTATGAAATATCCCTAAAGTAGAGGGGTCTGGTTAAAATAATGACTAGGAAAATATAAAATGTACAGACTCATTTTTGATAAAATAGATCCCATCCTGTAGCATCAGTAAGAGAGAGGACTGATCGTAGTAAGTCCCAATTGTCAAAGCCAGATCACTTATAGAAGAGAAAATAAATCAAACAAAAATGTTTATATTAGAAAAGGAAAGGGATTTTTGGTAACAATCAGCTTTTTGGCTTTGATCTTGAAATCAATAGTGACAATCAGAATCGGGTCTTTAGAATTCCCGAAGATTTTTGAGCCCATCTTGGTGTTTCCTGTGAAGAATTGAAATTATCTGCCATTTCCTAATTGTCATCTTCACAGTTGTTTACAGAAAATATATTTCAGTGTCTAGCTCTGCGTCTAGACAATCACTGTTCTTGAAGGGCAGCGGCAACATCATGCCCGTTGTTACTTCTTTGTCTTGGACTGTTTTCCACCATAACTTCCTGAAATCTGGAACCATTATTTTCAAACTTCTCTTCCCTAGCAACCATTTAACGAATCTCATTTATATCAGTTTCTATTAACTGCAGCATTACTGAGTTTTTGTACGTTGACACCACCCCAAAAAAGGCTTGGCCAGCCAGCTAGTGGGAGTCTTAGAGTGATATTGCAAATGTTTAGAGGCTTCAAGTTTATTTTTAGACATTGCAAGGTCTCTATGTCTTCAAGATAACTTCCATCATCAAAGTAAATTAGCAAGGCATCAGATTTCAGAATGGAGGAAAGGAGAGCTGGAAGCAACATGCTTCTCACACCATCTTGGGCCTATCTTTTCTACTTCTCTGTACCTCTCCAGCATCTTAGAAGTGCTTGCTCATCCCCTTTGATGGTATTTAATTATTTGAAAAAAGACCATTTTTCAGGAAGAAAAAAATGAACTTGAAAAATTTTGGCCAATTCTAGATTTTTGTAATGAACATGTGTAAAGGTGTCAGTTTAAGTATCTAACCGTTAATCGATAGTTTTCTTATAGTCTAAATGTAAAGGGAAAAAAAGACTTAAAATAATCAGCCACTATTTGCAAAGGTAACATCTACCGCTTTAAACAATAAATAGCTCTCACATGATTTAGTGAACAGCATAATGTCAAATTTCTCCCTTGGCTGATGTTCCCTCTTACCACATTCCCTGGACTGAAATTAAAATGTTAGTTGGCCTATCCATGTGCAGCGTGACCGCTCCAACACACTGTAATTTTACAGTGCATCGGAGCAGGCTTGATTAATCGTGTCTGCTGGAGTGTGCTAATTACCGTGCTCCAGCAGACTCTAGTGTCATGCGTATCAGCATGTCCACGCTTGTTTGACGAGCTTTAGTTAAAGCGCTCCCACTGCCATTTTTCTGTGAGGGGATGCTGATCCACATGACACTCCAGACGCTTTAATTAGAGCAGTTCTTGGAGCCCCCCCACACTCCCAGACCATGTGTATAAACACCCTTAGAGTCTACCTTTTCCATTTGGCAACATTCTTCTGAAACAAAGGTAGAACCAGGTAGTATCAGCAGTGAAGCTGGAGCGCTATGATATATATCAGGACTATCCAACTACTGCCCTCTGGGGTGCACATGGCCCTCAAGGGGTTAAACTCCTAATTCAGGTGCTTCTCCACTCCCTGCTGCTGCTGGTGGAACTGGAATCTATGCCAGAGGTGTCAAACGCAGCTGGCCCCGTGGGCTGAATGGGTGGTGTGGGGCTCAGTCCACCGGCAAGATGAGGCCCATCTCTGCCTGCACACCTGAGTCAGCACTTGCCCAGGCCAATCCAAAATGTTCCTAGTAAGCACCTCATGTGATATGGGCCTGGTCCAGCTCTGTGGGTGGATCAATGAGCAGCAGCAGGGGCCAGGTTATGGGATTCCGTTGGCCAGATTTAGCCCATGGGCTGTATGTTTGACACCCCTGATCTATGTGATAGAACTGCAAGTGTCTAACTATGATGTAGGCTCTATACAGCTAACAGAAAATCCCCAGCTTTATACATCTGAGCAGTTAGAATAAGAAAACCTTGAATTCTTTTTTTGCTATCTAGATTTACTGGAACAGTATTATAAAATTAGGCATGTTATGAATGTCTTCCCTCTTACTTGAAAAGCAGGGGTTGGTCACTGTGAAATGGAGGGCACTAGACTAGATAAACCTTTGGCACGTTCTGGCTAACAAGGAGCATTCTCATTTCACACTTTGAACATTCTATTTTCTTGTGGAACCATGTCTTTCCCAATAACTGAAGAATGGAAAATCTATTATTTGATTTCTGGATTCCAGTTTATTACTATCAGGCCTCGCTGACTAATAGGAGCCAAAAACACACAGATAGTGAGTGACTCATTATACATTAGAATCCAGGTTCATCCTGCTTTCCAGAACCAACCTAACTGCAACAGCCTCTTCAACTGTTTCAGAATATAGTCATATTATCTATGGGGAAAGGAAATAAATTCCCAGCAGAATTCCCATGGACTTCTGACCTTCCAAAGAAAATGATGCAACATTTCATATTGTCTGACTACCATTACTGTTATGTTCTCTTAAAGGGAAATGTGAAGATGAAAACGAACAACTTATGCATGTTTTTAAAAGTCCATTTTGTGTGTTGGTAATAAGTATGTAGTTAATTGAACAGAATGCATTTTAACATCATATTTGGCTTTCACTATTAACTGTATGTGGCTTGATTGTGGGTTTGCATTTCATCAGTGGCAGAAAAACTGCAGGTTCATTTACATAGTTGATTATAGATGAGGGGTTAAATTCTTCACAGAAGTAAATTCCATTGAATGTTACATGGAGATTCTATCAGATTTAGGCCTTAATCTCACGTGCATTTAGGACTTAGATTTAACAGTGAATATAACTTCATAGACTTCAATAGAATTACTCTTGTGCATAAAGTTAAGAGCTTGCATAGGTTTGCTGGATGTGGGCCTTACTGTGACCCTGAGTCATGCTCAGTTTCTACATTTCATCAACCAGTGCTTTCCTGTTGTGTTTGGAATATGTTTAAATTTTTCAAAATCTTTTTACTGAAACTTTTGGAGATTGTTGAGATTATGGTTTGCAAACCCTCCTAATGTATTGGCTTTTAGCAAAAGTCAAAATTTGGGTCTAAAATGTCCTTTTGTATTTTTTTAAAATGTGATTTTTGTGTTCATTCAGCAGCAATTCACAAGCTAAATCTTGCTTACTTTTGTGTCAGGCAAGGAAGAAGGATTTGGCCTATTCACATGTAGTAAAGTTTATGTAACTCTCTATTGTTCTGATTTACCAAAACTCTTATACTTAAGCTCTGTTGACTTCAGTGGGATCTAGGTATGTGCTTAGTTAAAAGTATAAGTTGGGAAACTCAACTTTTCCCCAGAGATCCTGGGGGCATGCTTTGTAAGCAGGGAAACCTTCACTTTTCTTGCTTACTAAGACATGTCCCAGAGATCCTGGGGGCACTTCTGGGTATGCAGTGAATCTTTCCCTGCTTACATAGAGGTGCCCTGGAGATCTTGAGGGTGCAACTCTGTAAGTGGGGAAACTTGGGCACGCACTCACAGGGCTTGAGGGGCCCGATTCAGGGCAGGGAGTTCTCAGGGTGTGCAGGACCGAGTCCCTCAAACCCTGGGAGAACCCTTTGCCCATTGTACCACAGCATCAATGGGTGATGTGTGTTTTGCCCAATGAAACAAATCAGCTGTATTGGAACATGGCATGGCATAGTTGATCCACTTGATTTGGCAATGTCTATTTTTAGCCTATGTATTTCAACACATCAGGAGAATTGGGGCTTTTGTGGGTTTCTATCAGGGATAATGACCAGGACTTGGACATTTGGGGTTCAACCCTAAAGGCTGCGGACAGAAATTACACATAACTGGTTTAAGTGATCAGAAACCAGTTCAAATCTGTAACATAACAGAAGTTCAGTGGACATTAACCTTTTTCAAAATGACCAAAACTGGTTTAAGATAAACCTGGATGAATGTAGTATCAGACTTAACTGATTTAGGTTAACTCGGTTTATTGAACTTCTGTCCCAGATTCCCTCCAGATTCAAGTCAATTCACAGTCCCCCAGCATCCCAGGATGCTTTATACCTCCCTTGCAAACCGTCCCCTTCCTGCGGGGAGGAGGGGCTGGCCTTTGCCCAAGCTGTCTTCTCTAGTCAATCAGGGAGACACGCTTCTTGCCTCAGCCACTTCAGGCATGTGGTTGCATTTCCAGAGCCAAAAGTGAATGCCTGTTCACTTGCTTATCAGTTCAATTTTTTGATTATCCTGTGAAGATTGAATTGATTCAGCCTCAGGATTTTTGGCTGTCTGTACTTAGCCAAAGGGTCATAAGTCAGGGGATCAGGACTAGAAAAGGTCATGAGGCAGGAGTCAGCAGTGAGGAAGCGGGGACCCAGGTTGGAGTCAGGAATAAGGAGTCAGAAGCCTAGGGCTGCACAGGAAAGTACTAGTCCTCTTGAGTAGACTGCTGGACACCAAAAGAGCTACTACTTGTAAGGTGGCTGCCACATGCATGCAAGCTACTAGGGCTAACTGTGAGTAATTACCCACTTGGGTAATTATAGCCAGCTAAGGGCTAATTAGGTTGCTTGCTTCCCTGAGACTCTTGATAGTTTTAACCTCCAGTGCCTTTGATTTGTAATTTAAATTTATGTATTAAAGTAGGGGTGTCAAATTCATGCCGGGCTCCTGGGTGGGGGCGGGGAGGGGAGGAGCTTCTCGCATGCCAGAACCATGAAGAGGAACCAATTGTGGTAGGGCTGTGTTTGGGTGACAGCGTGGGTCTGGGAATGGGCAGCAGTGCAGAGACACATTCAAGTGGCAGTGTGGGTCAGGGGGTCTGTTATCCATGGCCATGTCTGAATTCTGTGGCAGACCATGCCCAAACTTTCAGTAGCCTCCCAGATAATCAGTGGGCTGAATGCTACTGTTCCACAGGCCAGATTTGGCCTGCAGGCCATGCATTTGATACCCCTGTATTGGAGAAAAGTTATTGTAGCAACACAAATATTCATGAATATAGTAAATTGTATATGTTGTAGAGAAGAAGTGTGTAAGAACACATTTCAATTTCAGTCCTGCTTGATCCTCCTACAAATATTAATGAATAAATTATCCTCCATGTTGTGGTAGTGTTGGGATGTGATATTCTTTTTCTGTTCCATCATCTAAGTGGCCTTTGGATCTAATGGTCTGGATGGCCAAATAGCAGTAGAATGTGGAACACCAAATGATAACAATGTCACCCGTAGCTTTAAGCACAGAGAAAAGGTGGATGAACATTGGATCAAATGGAGCCTAACATTTATTTGCAGAGTATAGTCATTGAATGCTTTTAATAGTAAATAAGACTTTAATTTTGTATACAGATATGTATACACTTAAAGTGCGTATGTGTTTGCAGAATCACATGTAAGTTTATCAAAGTATTCTGCAGTTTGCTCTAAAAAAAAAGCCTTGATCATGTCTTTTTATTTTTATACTCACCTCAAAGGAATATAGAAAACTTTGGCAATCACCTTGACTGTTTTTTGTTTCTCTTGTGTCTTCTGATTTGTAGCAATAAGGCTGTCTGGAAGCAATGAAACTCGCATTTTGTGGTAATGATAACCCTGCTGCCTATAATATCAGTGCTGGTGTCCTGAGAAATGTCTGCTTCGTGGATGCTCTCAACCTGGTTCCCCATGTCTTCCTGTTATTTATCACCTTTCCAATTTTGTTTATTGGTGAGTCATCCATTCTGAGCTCCTAACCCTGGAAATGTTTAGAGTAGAGCACATGTCTAATTGCAGGATGGTCTTTTTATGTCATAGGACTGGTGCAACCCATTTAACTTAGAGACTTTGTATTACTTTAGTTCTGATAAGGAAGAGAGAAAACTGGGGAAAAAAGAGGCACATTGAAGAGATGTTTAAACAGGAGTGTGCTAGAACTAGAAGACTTGATGCCTATCCCCTTGAATTTCTTGATATTTTGACCTTGAGTGGATCCAAACAACAAAATTAGATCCAGATTCTTTCAAACTTGGGAGATGTCTCTCACCGATTTGAATTTGGCAGGTTGCATCTCTCCCTGTTACTCGCTGGTAAGAGCTAGAACAGTGAATCTGAGTTACATTGACATTTAGTGGAGTTCAGAATAGATCCAAATTTGCAGCTTGAATCTGTCACATGATACATTATGGATTTAATAATTCACTCCTATAACAGCATTTGTAACCTAGACAAGAGTAAATACATTTATTCTATGGTAATGAAAGCAGGAGATGGTCTTTAGAACATAACACCTTTAGAACATTTCAGACAGTGCAATCAGTTTCATTTACATGCTCTTCTTATATAAAGTCCCAGTCTGATGATGAAATGTATGCTGTTTATTCTGTCACAAATAGAGTTGCTTTCCTGATTCACTTCTTCAGGAGTTGCTGCATTTTAATCCATGAAACATTCCCTACTATGCAGTCTCCAGAAGGGTTTGTTACCTTTATAAAATAAATTCTTTGTAGAGAAAAAGTGCTGTACACCTCTTTGATATATCACTGTTATTCTGGACAGTTCTAAGAAACAGCTTTTCTTTGCAAAGGGAACAAAGCAAAACACATATTTTCTCACACAGAGAAATAAGGATTGCAATGCATTACATTACCTACATGTTTCTCTTTATACTTGTAAACTATCCATTTACTTCAGTGAAACATATACATGAGTAAAATGATATCTGGCTCTATATAGACACATAATATGTTTTAAAAATATATATAATATTTGCCTTTCCCTTTACTTAAAACAAAAGTGGAACATTTTTTGTGGCAAAAACCCTCTCTAGAAAAAAAAGAAAGAAAATACAGTTTCCAGAGACAAAAATGTACCATATATGTGCTTAAAACGGCTTGGCTTTTGCTGAAGCTAAAAGCCATACAGACATCTATAGTAATGAGCGAGCACAAAAACTAAAATGAGAGCTGGAATGTGTGATGTACATTTATACAATCACTTTGAAAATATGAATCAAAAGAATACTGGGAGAGAAAAGGCAAGAAGTAAGACTGGAGGAAAGGCTTCAGGAGGTTTTATAGGAAACCTTGGGTGAGTAGACTTGGGAAAAAAATATATTACTGTCCTACAAGAACTTTTAAGATTTTTGAAAATGTTTTCCAGCTCCAAATCAGGATGAATAGTTGAAATCTCAAAAAACTTCATGAAGTAATCCTCTGGAAAAAAAGGATTGGATTACAAACATTTTCATTCTTACTCACTTTTTATTTTTATTATTATTATTACTCTTGTTACTATAGTTGCAGTCATTATTTTAATTGTTTTACATTATCATTATTGCTATTATTATTAATAGGAATAATAATTGAAAATATATATAGTCATAACTGTTATTAATAATACTGCTTGTAGTAATTTTTGTCCATACAAAACCAACATGATACTTTTTGGTTTTGAAAATGTTGAAAAGATGTGTTATAAGAATTTTGATTTTTTTCCAGCATTTTTTTCAAATCAGGAGATTCATCAACACAAACCTTTATCTTCAGACAGTTCCCATTTCATCCCTTTGGCATTTTCTGATGGGAAAAAAAAATAGTCTGAACATTTCTGAGCCATTTTTTATTGAAGGTAGAGAAGACATGGTCCTAAAGTCAAGCTATGGTTGACTAAAACCAAGGAGATTATTTTAGAAATATTTATGTAGGAGGCATTTGGGTCTAAGGCTTTTTGAGAAAAGTGCATTTACTTATTAGAAAGGTAACTTGCCAATATTTGTCTGTGTTAGTATGTGTAGATATTTACACAGATTAGCTTATAAGCAAATGTATATGGTATTGTACAAAACATTGCTGAGGAGGTTGCATTCTGTGCCTTTAATTAGAGTTGAACATTAGGGGTGTGCAAAATGGGCCATACTAGATCCGGGTTTGGCCCGAATCGGGGACAGTGATTCAATTCGTTGATTTGGATCACTGTCCCGATTTGATTCAGCCAAATCCAAATCTGAAGATTTGATGATGTTTCGGAGAATCAGCGATTTGGCCATACACTCTGCTTTAAATGTTTTTCTACATACTTCAAGGTTCCAGGTGTGCATCGTGAATGCTGCAATGGTGGGGTGGATGGAGTGTCACACAGGAGTGCGGGGGGGACCCCTGCGTGCTTAGTGGTGAACCTGGAAGTGGACCAGAAGTACTTCCAGCCCATTTCTGGGTCTGCCACTGAGTACACGGGGGACCCCTCTTCTGTGCTTGCTCAGCTTGGCAATCAGCCATAGCGGGATCCCGGGTGTTCCCCCAGACCCAGAAGGCACCAATTGCCGAGCCAGGGGGTGGGAGGGTGTCCCCCGCGTACTCCCTGGTGGACCTGGAAGTGCTTTTGGTCCACTTCCAGGTCCACTGCCGAGTGCACTGGGGACTGCCCCCTGTGCTCCCATGGGGCGCTCCATCCACCCCAGCATCTCAGCATTCACAAGCTGCCTGGTGCCTTGAGGTATGTGAAAAAAACATTTAAAGCTGTGTGTATGTATGAATCGTTGAATCTTTCCAAATGTCTCCAAATTGATTTGGAGGGTTCCGATTTGATCTGGAGAGATTAAAGGGTCTCTTGATTCGATTCGGATTCGGAAAATCAAATCAGGCCGAATCTTCGCTGAATTGAATCAGCGACCAAAGCTTCGCAGAGCCCTATTGAACATGCTTCATACCTTCCAGACTTTGCCCCATTGTATAGCCTTACGTAGATTTTGATAATCAGCTTATTTATGCTTGCTTGGCATGGATAGGCATGGGATGTACCTATCTCAGCATCCTATCATATTTTAAAGCATATCAGAGCTTTAAATGTGATGGAACAAGCCAATTTTTCAGTTCTTTAACCACTGGGAGGAGTTAAATATTTTTTAGAATTTCTGACTCCCAGTCAGTTTAGTATTCTAGGAAATGTCTTATGGCCTTTTGAGGAAACTCATAAAATATTTCAAGGAAAGGCCCTAGCTCATCAGTGTTTCCACTTATTTTACTGTTGATTCAGCAAGGAGATATGAAGTAACGAAGCTTATTGAGAAGGGACTTAGGAAGAATTCAGTGGCTTCACTGGGTGCATCTCACCTTCTCTCTGCACTGTGATGGCAAATGCTTGACTTGCTTATTAGGGGTGTGCGAAACGGGCCCTCTTCGATTCAGATTTGGCCCAAATCAGGGACAGTGATTCGATTAGTTGATTCGGATCACTGTCCCCGATTTGATTCAGCCGAATCCGAATCTGAAGATTTGAAGCTGATTCAAAGAATCAGCAATTCGGCCATAGACACAGCTTTAAATGTTTTTTCTACATACCTCAAAATACCAGGTACAGCTTGTGAATGCTGCAATGATGGGACAGATGGAGCATCCCACAGGAGCATGGCCCCCCCCCCAGCGCATGCTCAGTGATGAACCCGGAAGTGGACTGGAAGTACTTCTGGTCCACTTCCAGGTCCACTGCTGAGCACACAGGGGACCCTCCCCCCCAGTGCCTCCTGGCTCAACGATCAGTCCCTGGGTGCTCCCCCAGACCCAGGAGGCACCAGTCGCTGACCCGGGGGGACACAGGCCCTCTCCCCCACGCGCTCCCCAGTGGACCCGGAAGTGGACCGGAAGTGCTTCTGGTACACTTCTAGGTCTGCTGCTGAGCACTTTTCCCTACCACCCCACTCCTGTGGGACTCCATCTGCCCCACCATCGCAGCATTCATGAGCTGCTTGGTACCTTGAGGTATGTAGAAAAAACATTTAAAGTTGTGTCTATGGCCAAATTGCTGAATCTTTCCAAATCTCTCCGAATCGATTCAGAGGGTTTCAGTTTGATCTGGAGAGATTAAAGGGTCTCTTAATTCGATTCAGATTCGGAGATTTGGCCACCAAATAGGGCCAAATGTCTGCTGAATCAAATCAGTGACCAAAGCTTTGCACAGCCCTATTAATTATGGATTAGCCTGGAAAAGTGGTCTGTCATGGGGCTTCCACTGTTACTCTTCCATCTTCTTTGTGATAAAATCAAATATAATTTAATGACACTGCTCCTTTGTTTGAAAAGGGACTGCCACAGATAAGTTTTGGTTCAGATTCAATTCACATTTTGTGCATCTTTTGTTCTAACACACACAGCTCCATGCTTCAAACGCTGCTACAGAAGCAGTACAGAATTGGCAGCAGCTTCTGCAGAAGTTATTTCACTTTTTTATACATGCTGGACTTTTCAGTTGATGCAGTTCCAAGGATCTTGACTACAAAAAAGTCATGCTATAAATCTTCCTTTCTTTGGCTTCGCTTTTGGAAAGTTTGTTGCCCAGCTATTAGATAGCAGTGGGCGTGACCTATTGATTATTGGAGCTGAGGAGAAGGAGCCAGAGTGCTAACTAGCTGCATGATCTTTTCTCTCTTTTTTTAAATTTTGTTTTACAGGCTGGGGAAGTCAAAGCTCCAAAGTCCAGATACATCACAACACATGGCTGCATTTCCCTGGACACAACCTCCGGTGGATTTTGACATTCACCCTCCTGTTCGTGCATGTCTGTGAGATAGCAGAGGGCATAGTTTCAGATGCGTAAGTGGCTGTGTCTGGTATGGAGTCTAGCTAATTGCATGAACAGTGCAAGAAAGCTGTTTATAAGGCATAAATGGCTAGGGATCTCCTTCACAGCCTTTCTAAAGTTTTAAAGGGGTCAAGATGAAGCAGTTTTATTTAGCACTTTATTATCTCCTTCTTGAGGTACTACACCTGCCCTAAATTTATAGCTACCAATTTATAAAACCTCTAAACATGGAAAAAAAATCCCATAAAGCCCAGTTGCATTTATACTGCATTTCACGTTTCTTTTTAAGACAAATGAAATCTCGACACCTGCATCTCTTCCTACCAGCTATAATTGGATTTGTGGCTGCCACAACATCTATAGTCTACTACCATAATATTGAAACATCTAACTTTCCAAAATTACTGCTAGGTAAGTAGTTCATGGTACTGTTGTTGTTTTCAAAAGTCATCAGATTATTCAAGATTCTTTTTTCAAAATAAGTTTGGGGAGGTCTGTAAAATTCATAAAAAGCCTGGGAAAAAATTCTGCTTTTGAAATTTTTATGGTTTACACTCCTGTTTCTTTTCTCCCTATAATGCAACACTTGCACACTTGTCTAAGTGGATTAAAATGAAAAACTGGCAATTCCTGAGAGGCAGGTTATCGTTTTAATTTTGTAGACACATTTTCAAAAATAGATTCAACATATACAGCTGACAATTTGTACTCGTTTGGTTTCCATAGCTTAAAAGCCACCATCTATTTTTCAGTGAAAATAAGTTTTATTTTACCCATAAGAAAATAATAAAAGCCTGATATCAGACTCATTTAGAGGGACCTTTGTGTCCATGTAGAGCCTCATTGACTGCAGCTGGCCTTTGTCCAGGGTATGATTACAAGATAGGACCCAAAGAAAGAAAAAAATGTCTCTGTGAAATGGAGCACAGTGCAAATCTCTCCCTTCTCTAGATCATCCATTTTGAGTAATGTCACTGTTTCCTACCTCACAGTTTACCAGTTTGTGCTCCATGACATGACAGCTACAATAACAGATGCAATACTCATAAAATAATCCCACTCTGAATAGTATAGAGCTGCAGCATTGGTGAAGTTAAAACACATTGTTTTAAAATTATGTTTCTTTTCTTGTTTGCTTCACAGCTCTCTTTCTTTACTGGGTTATGGCCTTTGTCGCCAAAACCATCAAGCTGGTCAGATACTGTCAAGAAGGTGTGACATTCTCTCAGTTGCGCTTCTGTATCACTGGAATTATGGTCATTCTTTATGGGTTGCTGATGGCTGTGGAGATCAATGTCATTAGAGTTAGGGTATGTGTTTTTTATTAGGATTTGAGAAGACATAAAGCCATATCTTGGAGTAAGAATGGGGATAAATGTTAAACTACAGTGACACAAATTTTGGCACCAGTACAGCAAAGCACTTAAGTACATGTTTATATTTAATCATGGAAGTATTTCCACTAAAGTCAGTGAGGGCAATCACATGATCACAATTAAAATAAGGTATATTTATTGGAGCAGGCTTAGCATGCTAAAGAAATCTCCCCCTCATCCATTATCACTAGGGGTGCAGACAGAAGTGACAATTTTCACCCGATCTGGCCACAGGAAGCAGTCTATAGCCGTGACCAAACACAAGTGTGCAACTGCAGACAGCTTCAAAAATGGCTGATCGTGTGAAAATCTGACCCCTCATTGCATGTGGTATCAGATAAAGACGTTTCAAAATGTAGTGTCTTCTGTAACTTGTGTCTGTGGAGCTCCCAGCCTGTTGCTGTTTTCAGAATGGGAGGTGGGGGGGGGAACAGAGGGAGCTCAGTCTCAGGGGTTTTCAGCCCCCTCTAGAGGGTAGGGCAGGTATATTGGAGCCCCCTTGAGGTGAGGGGGCTCCAATTCACCCACCCCACCCTTCAGCACCCACCTGGGAGCCCCAAGAACAAGCTCCCTCTGCTGTTTTCTCCCCTCCCATTCTGAAAACAGTGAGCATCACTGGCAGAGCCCTGGCTGTTGCTATGGGAACCTGGCTGCAGGCCCCTGCCCCATAGATTCCCCTCCCCACTGGAACCAACAGTAAACTTCTGTTTGGTCTGGAGTAACATTGTAACTCAGAATGCTTTGCAAAGAATGCTTTTCAAAAAATACCGCTGACTTACCTGCCCCTCTGGCAGGGAGGGGAGGGCAAGCTGCCAGTGGGTGGAGCAGTCCCTGGGTTGTGGGGGGGCTTTCC